AAGAACTTAATCCCAGTCCATCTTTTGCCATGACTCGCAGTTCAAATGTATTTTTCTTTTCAAAGTCCGTGCTACCAATTATTCTTATTTCTCCAGTTTGGCTGTCAATTGAAAACACTTTTCCATCTGTCTCTGAAACGTGACCAAAGTCATACGTCACCTCACCATTCACCCCATCATCTGCATCCGTTGCACTTACTGTAACCACCACGGTATTAACAGGCGAGTTTTCAGGCACACTCGCTTTATAGATGCTTTGGCTAAACACTGGGGCGTTATCATTAGCATCCAGTACAGTCACATCTATCATGACAGTACCTGACCTCTGAGGAGATCCACCATCAACAGCTGTTAGAAGCAAGTTAATCTCTTCTTTTGTCTCTCTGTCCAGTTTATTCTCAAGAACAAGTTCAACTTTGCTTGCATCGATCATGAGAACAAAATTGTCATTTTTCTGCAGGCTGTATGTCTGAACAGAATTTTTTCCGATATCGGCATCATGAGCTTCCTCTATTAAGAAACGAGTGCCCTTTTCTGCAGACTCACTTATTTCCATTCGGATTAAATCTCTTTTGAATTGCGGAGAGTTGTCATTTATATCTTGAACATGTAGATTTATTCGATGTAATTCCAAGGGATTCTCCAGTACGAGCTCCTGGACTAAAATGCACGATGGTTTAGTGCCACAAAGACTCTCTCTGTCAAGCTTCTCAGCAACACTCAAATCTCCGGTGTTCAAATTCACAACACAGAAACGTTCGTTATTCCCTTCGTTGTCAATACGGGCCTTGCGAGCTGACAGGTTGTTAATATCCAGACCAAGATCTTTGGCTATATTTCCAATGACAGTTCCTGGTTTCATCTCCTCTTGGAATGAATAGCTCACTTCAGCACGTACGGATTGCAGCGCAATCAGACAGACGACAAAGCGCGTAACCAGGCCAAGCTTTGAAAATCCTCCGTGTGCCATTATTCCAAATGAGAAAGATCCGTCAATAAAAAAAGACTTTTCACCGCGTTTGGTTAAACTTGAAACACCGTCAATCTTCAGCAAATCAAACGAATCCAAAAACAGAAATCAGCACCGTGATCCCGCGGCTCCTTCCAGCACAAAGCTCAGGAACAATGGGTGGAGACGTTATGCTACACTTCACTGCAATGTTTCCTAGTACACTGGTAGACAGCGACGCGGTGTGTTCATTTAAGATAGACACATGGAATGAAATGGCACCTTAGAGACATGATACAGATATTCAATCTACAAGAACTGAAAGTGCAATGTGAAAACTTGGCAGATTAAAGAGTAGGTCTGCATGCTTTTAACCAAATAACTGGTAGGCATGGACGCAGTTGTTTCTAGGATCAAACATTTTGTAGCCAACTTCAATGTATTCTTCAAGCAAGTTGCACTGAGACACATACAAAGACTACATTTTAAACCAAAGCTTGCATCTTTAAAGATTAAATTGCAAAATGGCATAGGGTTTTCATTTTGTTTTCACCACTTTTAAAATGTGTCTTAAACATAAACTTATATACTTGTAACAACATGCAGCCAACAATCGTGCCTATAAGCTGCCTTCTCTCCCATGTTTCAGCACCACGGACAGAGTCCATTCACATGAAACAGGGAAAATACCTGCTACAAGGACACATTCGGAGAAACAGTCATTTATGGCTTCTATAAAATAATAAAGAAAAACAAAACATTTGTGAGGCGCAAAAATTGTAATCTGATAAACCACTATATTATAAAATAAAGCGGTACAAAGATAGCAGAGCAGTTATGCTTTTTGCCCGAGAGCCACAGTTCTTGTCCATACAATAAACAGAATGGCACTGGTGCACTTGGAACACTGCACCAATTTTGAATAAAACTACTCAAAGGATCAATAAGGCTGGGGACCAGTTTAGCAGAAGAATGACTGAAAAATGACCCATTTGTGTGATTCAGCAATCCTCACAAGAAACCACATGTTCCGAACATTTAAAACACTTTACTGGCACAAAAGGTGAATAATTTTCTGTGGATGAGTTTCAGCCATAAGAGCATTGTGGAGGCTACTGTGAGGTCAGTTTATATCCTTATATATGACAACTGGGGTATTGCTGCAGCTCCACAGATAATTGTCCATCTTAGGAGAACATTTCAAACTGCTGTTAACAGATACCAAATATGGACGGTATATGCCACAAAAAATGGGAGGGAGTGCATAAAAAGTTAATACCATTTTGAACGAAAGACATCTTGGTATGACTTCATGCACTGCTTGGATGGAATTAATGAATTGCTATTCTACATCTTGTGTCAACATAATTTCTATTTAAATGGGAAGGAAAAAATAAAAAATACATAAGAACAGTGTTCAACATTAAAACTAATAAGCTGATTAATTATAAGAGATAAACCAAAGTATTTCTGTCAAATTATCAACAATAACTAATCCTTATGTTCCAAACAGATAAATGCAGGATTGTTGGACTAGATCACAGTACAACGGTTTTCTATGTAGACAGTAAGTCTGTTACTCGGTACGTCTTATGTGCTGTGCAAGCAACAGTAGGTTTCTTGATATAAAACCACCAAGCAAATAATAGAACGACAAATAAATTGATACTTAGATATTTGATATGGTTAAATGACAATAGTCATGTTTTATGACTTTAAGAAAACATTCCAGCAGAATTTTTTTTCGCGTTTCCTAATAGGACAAGAGAGAGAAAAAAATAGGCATGTGATGACACATGGCAAAAGCAATACAAAGTTAATGACTTGTAAATATTCATTGCGAAACGGGACATATGAAACACTGGCGTTAATATAAAAAGTCATTCACAAAACAAAGAGTCACTGCTGCAAATGTATATAGCCAACACCACCATCTCTTAGTTTCCTTCCTGATTATGATGAAATCCAAGTCCAAAGTTCACATAGTTCAAAAAGCAGGCAGCTCCTGTATGAATTACAACACAAATCTGAATATCAATACCAACTTCCCGAATTCAAAACCTTCTGTCACACAAGATTTTTTTCAAAAAATGAGTAACACTTTATAATTGTTTGATGAGCTAAACTTACATGAGGATACTCAGCATAACAACAACTGTATGATTTCAGAAAGGACTATTTCAAAAAAAGAAAAATGTCTGTTTTCTTCTACTCAACGGTTCCTTCATCTTGCAACTATTACTTTGTGAAATGGACAAGAAATAGTCTTTGACTTACATACATTTTACAAGTAAGTTCCACATAGCAACAACAATGAGCTGACAAGAAATCACGTGTCTTGAAGATATAACTCATGTTGGTATTGGACACTGTTGATCACAGGGACATAGTGGAACCTCTTAATTGTAACGATTGCGGAAGAGGAATCACTTAATTCTGAAATTCATACCTGGGAAGAATCATCAGAATCTCCGAAAGCCTCGAGGAAATCTGTTGGACTTTTCCTCAGAGTCTGGTCTGCAGGCAGAGTG